CTATTTAAAATGGTACATTTATGTTTTGTGGGTTAGGTTTGTAGGGAACTTCCCTTTAAAAAAGTGTCAGGAAACGGCATTCATTTTAAAATTTTTAAAACCCGTTTAAACCCATTAAAACCCATTTAAACCCATTAAAACCCATTAAAACCCATTAAAACCCATTTAAACCCAACCGGGTCGGGTTTTTTTAAAAAACCCGTGGGTTTTTTAAACCCTGAGGTAATGGCCTACATACGTGCTTATCCACGATCATCAATAAGACATGTATCTCGTGAAATTGGTGTATCAGTTGGTGCAGTACATAAAATTTTGAAAAAAAAACAAAATGCACGCATATAAACCCGAGTTTGTTCAACATTTACGAATCGGAGATTCTGAACGTAGATTACAATTTTTGTCATGGTTTAGCGTTCAATTTGAAATTGACAATTTATTTTATAAAAATATTTTGTGGATTGATTAATCTAAATTCACAAACAATGGTGTAATGAACAAACAAAACAATAGGTTTTGGGACGATACAAATCCACACTGGTCCCGAGAAACTAACTTTCAGACAGTTTGGGGTATAAATGTGTGGTGTGGATTAATTGGTGGAATACTTTTAGGTCCTTATTTTTACGATGGAACACTTTCAGGTAGAAGATATCTAGATTTTCTTGTTAATCAATTACCGTTACTGCTAGAAGACGTTTCATTAGCCACGCGGGAAAATATGTATTTTCAACAAGACGGTGCACCAGCACACAACGCCATCATTGTTAAAAATTATTTAAATGAAATTTTTCCTAACCGATGGATTGGTACCCATGGAGTAATTCCATGGCCAGCAAGATCTCCAGACTTGACCCCATTGGATTTTTTTTTATGGGGGCATTTAAAAAATGTTGTATATGCAGATCCACCTATTAATCTCCAAGATTTAAAAAACAAAATACGACTGGCTTGTAGTAATTTGAGAAGAGAACAAATAAACGCTGCCACATCAACGGAATTATTAAAACGTTTGGAATCATGTTTGGAACATCAAGGTGGAAACTTCGAACAATTTATTAGATAGAACTGTAGAACGTAATTGCAAATAAATAAAAATTGATTTCAAATTCAAAATGTGTGCAATTTTATAGTTTTCATTACCTTCATTTAGCTATCTTATTTACGATTACTACGATTTACTATCTTAATTACTGGCAATCGTTGTCAAAGTTATTTTTATTATCTTATCTGTGTGCAAATGTAATCTGTGGATACTAATAACTAGTAATGAGTAACAATAAGTTGAATTTAGTTTAGATTTCGTCAAAAACAAATTACTCGTAAATATTAAATTTCATCGTTAAATATTGTAATTAGAAAAAAACTTTTTATACATAAATTGTTTAGAAAAAAATACTCTATCCGAATATGTAAAAAAAAAATGGTGTTACCATTTAAAAAAAAGTAAGTTGTATCG